GATTACAACAATCTTAATACTATTAGCAATTCACAGTTTACATACAATAATGAGATCATTGGAAGACACTATTTATATATTAATGAAACGTATTCTTTAGACCTTCATTTATAATCTAGTCATTGGTCGCAGACTCTGTTTACATTCATTCACAGTCTCTATAGCAGACAAATTATAAGTTCGTACAATAGTGCTCGCGGTGTCGAGTCACCTAGACTGTTGGCCACATTGCAACATGATCGATAGCATTCGATCTGCACTAATAATAAGGACTAGACACGCATGACATTGGTCACCCAGTGATCAATCAATTGTGATAAGTTCGTACTCCCTGACAACATAGTTCAGTTATCATGTTCGGAACAAACACGCTTCGTTTTAATTATAAAGAATATATCACTACTTAATGTGACATTTACAGTGATGTTATACATATAAAATCAGACAGGTTTCTGTGATAATTTTATGAACTAATGATTTCTTTGTACTTGGTGACTGAGTGATTTAGAATTCCGAATACTATACGTACGTCTGTGTTCATCTAGTTTTTCTTGGTCTAAATTACGCTATTTTGGTAACCCCTAGTTCGTACAATAGTCTAGATAATTCTAATCATCACACTTTCACAAGATACACCTAAAAAGTTTCACAAGCAAGTTAGAAATTCAGAGAATGGTAAGTAAAAGCATTCTTAAAGTTAAATATAAAAATCATCTCAACGCCTTTTTTAAACTGCACGGATACTCTTCCGAACCGAAACAGCCATCCTATGAGTTCTGAAATATAATAAACACAGAAAATTACAACGATGTCTAACTGCCATAGTTTCCTAAACAACTGTCTACATAAAGTTGTAGTGGCCTACTTTTATCAAGAGAACACCATTGGTGTAAGGGAAACAATTATTATTATAACCAATTGTACCAGGGATTGTTTTACCGTACTTGTTTGTTTAACTGTACCAATATGCATACATTCTTCCGTTGATTGTGACCTTGCACGAACTCAGTTACGCCCAGTAACCCTACTTATAACCTGGCATGATCTCGGTATTCTTTCAATGCCACGAGATCGACAACTGCCTTCTGATATTCGGCCTACGGTGAATCTTATCGGTTAACTGGCCCGTAGTCTTCCTGTAGCGGTGATCATAGTCAACCGCGACTCGATGCGACACTACAAAGTATTACTAATGGTTATGTTCGTTAATACTGAGCACAACACCTATAGAACGGCAGTGAACAGATGGAGTGCCGTGTAATGTTATAGGCAGGCCACTTCAAGTGTTATAACGCGTGACAAAATATAGCGCATGAAAGTTTTAAGATTGTAACCAACTAACCATGTCAGCATGGTTAGTTGCAAAAAAAACAAACAATCAAATGAATTTCATTGAATCATAAATTTGTCCCTTATATTTTCTTGCTGAAGACATGCGATCAACGTTGTCAGTTCCTATTCAGACGACAAAGGGATCCGAAAACTTAACAGTCAAACATCAAAGGTCCTTTGGTTGGTTGTATACTAGAAACTTATATTATGTTCAAGAATATTTCAACGCGGAATCGCTGCAACCTGCATTTACCAAACAACTTTCAGACATCCATTTTCGTCAACATTATCAAGGGTTATGAATCAAATGTTAAAGGTTTTTATAGCTCATTTTTGTCTAAAAATTCTAACTGCGGTCTATCTCTGACTTGATAGATAGTAAATTTTGCTTGCTTGAGTTTACAAATAACCACATTAATCTGACTTAAATAAAGCAAGAACAAATATTGATGCAGAATAATATGAATTCATAATATTTCCAGGTTTTTCGTCGGCTGCTTACAACCAAATATGTATTAGAATTTTACATTGACATAAGAAATAGTGTGAAACAATTGACATAAATAAATGTAAATAATTGGAATGACAAAGGTTTACAATAATAACTAAATATATATATATATATATACACGCAAGAACAGGTCAGAAGTTAATTGTTGTTAGAATTAAGGAGGCAATTTAGGATGGGTGGTGTAATAGTTAGGTGGAGTTCATAAATTGTGTGATAATTTTAGAGGTAATGAAGGATTCATGGAATAAAACAGTGATAAGATAGGTTACGTAAGAATTGAATAGAATTTGAAAAGTTAACCTAATTTAAGAGGATCAGCGAGTGGAAATGTTTGAATGGAAAGTTGGTTTAGGAATTTGGTAATGGGGAAGGAATATGACACAAAATAAATATTTTAACAATAAATGAGTGAATGAAATAACACAAATAACGAAAAACAAAAAATGGATTACCGGGGTTATAATAAGTTTATTAATGTCTCTTTTTGAATACATAAATCCGGTTTAAGTTTTTTTGTCGCGATCGCTCCAGTAAAACGGAGAGCAGTCGTACTTCTTTGTCTGTTGATAATTTTAAAAGCGGGCAGAATGTCGATGGTGTGCCCGGCGCCAAGTAAATGCTGAGCTATTGCACTGTTGAGAGCCTTAGACCCTCGCAGCCATAGGTACCCTGTTCAATCATAATCTGATACAGATTCTTGCCTCTATTAAAATTCGGGAGAAAAGTAGGAATGATAAGAAAGGACTTCAATAAACAAGAAACTCGAAACGGCCGTCTGCTTAGCTAAGTGAACCTAGTAGTGATTACTGCATCACATGCTCTTTACTAGACAGTGTCAGTAAATCATCATTCTCTTCGTATGTGCGACAACTGCCGTCATGCTATAAAACTGCTCAAGCCAAACACAGATTCATGTTAAGTCATTCATATGTCTAGATTCTGTTCGTATTCCCAGAGCTTAAAGGAAATCCACCAACAAGGTCGATGAGATAAAATCCAAGGCTTCAAGTACACTAAAGACACTCGCGCTAATCACCACATAAAGCTACGTTGAAACAGACAGAAATGTGATCATAACGTCCTTTGTTTAATTTCGGTACATTGCTATATTCACTTGAAAATCACTGATCATTCCATATAAATCTGTCTCAGATAGTGGGAATGAGCCAAATTGTACTAAATGTGTGAAAGTTAAATTAAATTAAAAATAACCCCGTTAACGAATATGAACCCTAAATCAAGAAATATAGCAGGAAACTCCCCTGATGTTTCAGAGGCCAGAGACCCAATAATCCTTGAACACTGAGGATCAAAAGACAAACAACGATCTGTAAGAGTTTCAAAAACATAAACAAGCATTAACTCATCATTCAGTACAATGTATCGTTGGGTACCTAGGGTAACATGTGGATCTTCGAGATAGGTTCATAAGAAAGACACACGGCAGTGGTAATAATAACCATGCTATCAGGGAGTATGCATAAGCTCTCACTTTGCTCGTCTGTCGTCCCCCGCAACGATCAGGTGCTATTTCAAAAGCCGTAGACCTCAGGAACTAGGAGGACCCAAATGAAGTACTGAAGGCTCGGAAAAATTCCAGAAATGAACTACACCCTATTCTTGACATAAGATCTTGTCAATCACACCACGTGAAGCAACAAACAGCTATTTTCCTGTACCTTAACACAAGAATGCTTCTAGGCAAAAAAGAATGGGTCAGGAACACGTGCTTTTAGTTTGGAATGATGGACAAAGTTCTTATTGAGATCTGATTCCTTTCTGAAACGGCAGACGACGTAGTAAGGATGGAAGCTATGACACTCAATAAACATGACAGAGAACAAAGTGTTGGAGGCAAAGTGGTTATACAACTCGTCACTTCAAAGCCATTACATAGACTAATACTGGGAAGACCGTATTACGAGGGTACAGCTGGCTCTGCATTAGCTGGAGCAGTACTAAGTATTTGGTCATGGGAATATACCGCTTTTTCACATACGGTAACAGCACAAAGACCAGATAACTCATACCTCATCAAAATGAGCTCACTTGGTAGTCAGTTTGAAACTCATAACGAGGAGCCTTAGCACTCTCACTGGACTGTGTAGCACCTGCATTTTGATTGGGCAAACATTTAAGAGCCACTACTAAAAGCGACGTAGTATTCGAGCGTAAGAGAATGCCACAAAAAGCTGAATGAACGAGCAGCAATCTAGACTAGCTTGCTACTATCAAATGACTGGCTTGCAGTCCGGAATGTGCAGATGCAAGTCTTCAAAATAGCTGGCTAGTGATATAATGAACTTGTGCTCTCTATAATCACTCTGATTAAGATGTGATCTGTTTTTGATCGTTTTCATTTTCATCCGCCATTCTATCCATGACTAAATCATTGGGTAGCTCTTAAAGAACAATTGACAAGAAAAGTCTCACTCATTGACTACAATCTTCTGTTATTTGTAGTTGCGTCGGATGCGTTTCGTAACTTGCTCAGTCATCATTATCAAATACTATTTACCGACCGCTATCCCGTTTATTATCATCTCCGTTTCCCATTTTATTCTTGCAATTCAATCCTCTCACACTATCTGCATTACTAATTGATTGATCTATTTATTTGTTAGGTCCCTGAAATAATCATCCTCTCTTTATATTACAATTATCATTTCATTACTTTTCACATTACAAACACCCCCCACAGCTTGGACGTGATAGCTGCTGTTAGCCAGGAAATCTACTGCTGTAAGACAAAAACACTCACCCGAATTACAAGATATAGTAACTTACAGCAACTACCACACTGACTTGAATTAATGCAGCTGAGTGGTTAGACTCTCACCCATCGGACACTACCTGGGACATGGAGCCGTAATAACACAATTAAAACCGACCGTAAAGAAATCGAATCGGTACATTTTAGGTGGTTATTCTATCTGATTTTAGCTTCGATTTTAAGATCGTCCTGGTTCACGGCCTGTGTTATTGCCAGTTTTCATCTATTTGTTTCCATAGTAAATGTAACCAAATTGTGAGCGCTTGCTGGATCGTCAACTCACCTTTTCTTTTGTTCTTCTATATTTCGCCCTTCATCACTCACTCCATTCTCCATTCATCTTTGGTACAAAGAGTGCTTTCTGACTAAACACAAATATATACAAGCTCTTTGTAAGGATATTGGGTATTGGAAGCTCTGGGATTGTACATTGCAAAAGGCGCGGTTTGCGTAATGTGTGCTACACCGCGTGTTTTTTCCTTGTTGTTCTGTGGTTAATTCAAGGTAAGACAAACAGTAATTGTATACATTCACATACTTTTTATGTTTAGGACTTCATTCCCTACTGATTTTGCGTTCCAGAGAGCTTTTGAAACATAGTGTAAAATCATAATTTTCAATCCGCAGTTGGGGTGTGATCATCAGGAGTATTGAAGCTGTAAGAAAGATAAAGATTCCATTAACTCAGAATGTTTTTAATGTATAGGGTTATCTAAACGTAGTGATTCAGTCGAGATTATAGTGTTTGCGCTAATTGTAGTCGTACAACGCTTTCATGACGTTCAGTCAATTGGGTTTGATTAAAGAGTTGTGTTCAGTATGCCAGCGTATGAAGTGGGATTCTCCTACCAAAATACAACTGAAATCAATTCCTTTTGCTCTTGAAGGTTAGTAATGTTAGATAGGCTTCCCATAGTTAGTAAATTCTTTAGTCTAATGCACATTTTCGTTTTTATCACATCTTACTGTTTACAGATAATATTTTAAGTGGCTGTTTTTTTAATTGACACAACACTCCGACTTTTGGTTTTGAAATCAGGTTTTGTTTTATTTGTATAGTTTTCTGATTAACTGCAGGGCATACCAAAATTTGTGAGTGAATGGCTTTTCTGAAGATTGCGAATGATTTAGTTGCTAAAGCTTTTCCACTACAGAAAAGATTCATTTTTCACACCGTGATGCCGTCGTAAATTTCTTACCCATTTACAGCATTGAAGATTATTTGCATGCCCACTACTTGGTTTCATTTCATCATGTGTACTAGGTTAAAGTCATTGAATTGGGTTCAAAGCTCACGGTTTTGTGTTTTGTGCAAGAATTTTCGGATAAGATTCCGAGTAGGATAAAGCATTTCTTTAAAGAATACCCAAGTTAGTTTCAGCAGTTGATGCTGTTATCTTGGAGTATTGTTCACGTTGCGGGTAAAGCATTCGTATTGCAAACATCAGTTTGAGCAACTTGTGGTGGACCAAACAATATATAAACTCAAAAATAATAACAGAGTTATTGATTACAAACAGTAATGTATATACATATATATCAGTTAAACGTTATAAACACGACAAAAATTAGGGACGTTTCTTAATCCAGCAGGTGTGTGCGTGCGTGCTCAGACTGAGTTTGGTATCAGAATCCACAATTATAAATGATTGATGGTTCCAGTAAGATTGTTGTCCACCGAGTGATATAACCAACCGTAGAATATAATATAATTTGGCTGTAGTCTATAGATGTAGACAGTAAGTGATTTAGAGATCCATTATCACAATCACGAGCAATGGAGAACATGAGGTGTGTGTGTTTGTGTATAGTAGTGTATTTGTTAGTAGATAACAGCGTGTGTCATGCTATAAGTGTAACACTACGGAAGAATGTGTGTTCAAGACCATACACTTGAACAACACGTACAATCGTTTAATGATAAATGTACAGGCTGTGAAGAATTAACAAAATAAATACAAATAATATCAGAAACTATTTACAAAATAAGTTTGTCATGTATATCTCCACATAGCTCCCCTCCCTGAGTGTCCGGAGGTAACACTGGTTACAATAACAAAAAGGTTGTAAGAGTATAGTATATACATGTATGCAAAATAATATTTACGAGAATAAACAAAAACACAAACGTGGAGATGAGTATGACATGCACATTAGTAATATACAATGTGTTAGTGTACAAGGTAGCATGAATGTAGCATAGCACAACAAAATAGAATGAAAATACGGTCATTCAATGTCTTGGTTTGTTAATAATAGCAATAACAACGTGCAAAACTGATAATAACCGACGCCCCATCCCCCAAAAATGTATTGCATATTATTGTGTCAAATTTTCTTTTATTTTCTCTTTTATTTTTTCTCTTAAAAAATGTGACAAAACGACTAATTGTGGGAAAATGTGATTATTTATATACACATGTAAAAAGAAACAAAATAGTAGATTTTGTTGCAAAATGAAATGCATTTAACAGTGTAATATATACCAATGATTGTTTTTATTTATTTATTTTGTTTTATTCAGCAAAATTTACATAACACGGGTTTCTTTACAGTTCTACCTGAACGTATTAAGCAAGTAGGCTTAATGCTCGGTTTTTCATCCACCTTTGCTCTCGTAGTGATTAGTGGGAGAGGGTTGTTTATCCGCAGTGTTATCTTCTTTGTCTTATTAAACTTCGTAGAAGGCTGGCTTTATTCTATTTATAGAGATAGTCTCCTTCGTTCATCATCAGACAATTTAACAGTACATGGGCTTCGCCATTGCTTATGGCTCCTAAAAAAATCAAGACTGGCGCTCATGTGGTGATTGCTGACGTTTAAATAACGAAACCGTCCCAAGTTGATACCCTATTTCACACGTACACGATTTCCCATTAAACCTGCATGGAAAGCGTTTCTTTTCGAAACTTGATCTCGTGCGAGCCTACCGCCAGAAGATATCGAAAAAAACAGTCATTATTACAGCTTTTGGTTTGTTTGAGTCCTTATGAATGCCATTTAGAATGAAAAATGCCGCTCAGACGTTCCAACGATTTATCGACGAGGTCACCAGAGGTTTAGACTTTGTATTTACCTACATCGACGACTTTTGAATGCTAGCTCATCAATCGAAGACCATGTTCAGGATATATAAATCCTTTTTGACCTTTTTAAAAAACATGGTCATAATTAATCCTTCTAAATGTATATATGGCGTCTCAGCCTTAGAGTTTCTAGGACGCTACATCGACTCTCAAGGCATTAAACCACTTCAGGAGAAAGCTGAAGCAATCATCAACCATGCTTAACCAACTTCAGTAAAATCAGTACGCCGTTTCCTTGGAACGAGTAACTTTTATCGACGAGTTCTACCGAATTGCGCAGACGTATTACAACCTTTAACAGACCTGCTAAAAATAGATAAAAAAAGGAACAAAGAAAAAAAGGGACGACATATTCAAGCTACCTTTTGATGCCAAAACGGCATTCGAGAAAGCAAAGTCTATGATTACAAATGCCACTGTTACAGTATCTAAATACTAACCCCACAACCCACCTGATTTTATGCACGTACGCGTCTCAAAAATCCGTTGGGGCAGTATTACAACAATGAGTAAACAACATCATTACTCCCATAGCGTATTTTGCAAATGACTGTCACCAACCCAAGAACGTTATAGTACCTTCGGACGGAAGTTACTCGCTATTTATTTAGCAGTCAAACACTAACTTTTTAATGATTAAGATCATGAGTCAGTTGAAGCTAGACCACCATGGAAAACCTGGAAGCACTGGACGACCGTTTCGTCCTATTATGGGACTCCTCAGCAAAGACGTGCATTTACTATCATGACTGATCACAAACATCTATGTTATTCATTTAACACGTCTTACGACCGACATTCGCCACAGGAAGCACGACAACTGGATTACATCTCCCAGTTTACAACAGATATCCAGTGTATCAAGGGACATTATAGCGTCGTAGCCGATGCCTTATAACGAAAGGATATCAATATGCTGGTACATAAACAAGACATTGATCTTGGAACTATAGCAAAACTACAAGTAGACGACCCAGACCTGAAAAGCTTCAAAGAAAAGTCTAACTTGATCCTCAAACCCGTACCTATTCCCTTCTCAAACGTAACTATTATTTGTGACGTTTCAACCGACAGTAACCGCCCATTTGTACCAAAAGCTTACCAACGATAGATATTTCAACAATTACACGAGTTTTCACATCTTGGAATTCGAGCCACCACAAAACTTATCACAGAACGCTTCGTTTGGCCAAAAATAAACTCGGAGGTAAAAAGGTGGACTCGAAGCTGCATACAATGTCAACGCAGCAAAATTCAAAAACACACGATTAGTCCTGTTGGGAAGTTCCCATTGCCAGATAAACGCTTCCAACATATTCATTTAGACATAGTCGGTCCCCTACCACCAAACTCCTTCACGCGCATTCTTACGGCGGTGGATAGGTTCACAAGATGGGCGATAGTGTGCCCTATCTAAGATACGTCTGCAGAGACAGTCGCACCAGTACTTCTTGATCGGTGAATATCGAATTACGGAATGCCTTCAATCGTCACTACAGACGTGATCGCCCCCAAATGCCCTGGTACGGCCGAGAGTGGGGAGAGTCCGCTCTCCCTCTCAAAATGCTCTCACATGGCCACGTGTATATAGCCTCTGCTAGGGAAGTCCTACTCACTGCCTTCTCGTGGCGGGGGGGGGTTGTTTACGAATATGAGAGGACGAAAAGCGAATGCCAATAAAGATGCTATAATAAGTAATAGAAGAATAGAGTGACTCATTTGATATTTATGATTTTAATTAACTGTTTCACTAATATTTCACATTAAACATGTTCATTAGTAATTTGATTAGTTGATTTCTTTAATATGGATCTTTGATATATGTAGTAATTTAGAAATTTTACATAATATCCCGTGAGGCCGGGTCGTGGATACGCACTGCTGAGGAGTCTCATAATAGGATGATAATACGCAATCCATTTTCTGGGGGATGGGGCGTCGGTTATTATCAGTTTTGCACGTTGTTATTGCTATTATTAACAAACCAAGACATTGAATGACCGTATTTTCATTCTATTTTGTTGTGCTATGCTACATTCATGCTACCTTGTACACTAACACATTGTATATTACTAATGTGCATGTCATACTCATCTCTACGTTTGTGTTTTTGTTTATTCTCGTAAATATTGTTTTGCATACATGTATATACTATACTCTTACAACCTTTTTGTTATTGTAACCAGTGTTACCTCCGGACACTCAGGGAGGGGAGCTATGTGGAGATATACATGACAAACTTATTTTGTAAATGGTTTCTGATATTATTTGTATTTATTTTGTTAATTCTTCACAGCCTGTACATTTATCATTAAACGATTGTACGTGTTGTTCAAGTGTATGGTCTTGAACACACATTCTTCCGTAGTGTTACACTTATAGCATGACACACGCTGTTATCTACTAACAAATACACTACTATACACAAACACACACACCTCATGTTCTCCATTGCTCGTGATTGTGATAATGGATCTCTAAATCACTTACTGTCTACATCTATAGACTACAGCCAAATTATATTATATCCTACGGTTGGTTATATCACTCAGTGGACAACAATCTTACTGGAACCATCAATCATTTATAATTGTGGATTCTGATACCAAACTCAATCTGAGCACGTACGCACGCACCTGCTGGATTAAGAAACGTCCCTAATTTTTGTCGTGTTTATAACGTTTAACTGATATATATGTATATACATTACTGTTTGTAATCAATAACTCTGTTATTATTTTTGAGTTCATATAATTGTTCCGGCAGAAGCTTGATAGTTTCACTAGCCTACGCAGGAAGATGTGACTCAGCTGAGGAGTATTTGTGGCATTTTTTCTCAAGCTCCCTCATTTCTTGTACGCGTATATCGTTATTTATCTGCAACATAAATACTTCCGTTTGTTTGATTGATCGATAAAGAAACATATAGTGACATGACTATTTTGTATCTTTTGTGTGCTTTTAAGTATTTAATAAGGTAAGTGCTTACAAACTAAACTTCCTGAAAACGTTATAATAAGCTTACCTATCGTGAGTGAGTAAACAAATTCACTTTTAACTCCACCGTTCAATTTCCTAATGGACCAATGAACTTCACTTTAATATTTCCAGGAAAAGATATTGTTGGGATTGCTGAAACGGGATCTGGTAAAACAGGAGCTTTCCTTCTACCCATAATTCAAGTAAGTAGAATGTTTTGCCCAGAAGTATGTAATAATCTCAATACTAACACACAACTGCATATTAGTATGTTTATTTGTAATAATTCATTATTTATTGATTGTTCTATGCCCCTAATCACAAATGTAAGTTTTAAAGCATAACAATAGAGCTCTTTTGACTCAGTCCATCCATCGGAATCTGTAACCTTCAGTAAGTAGAGCATGATACTCTTAATCTCAGGATTGTGCGTTCGAACCACACGTCTGATATCATCCGGTGAGGTAGTTCATCATATCTGCTAGTTGCCGGCTTTAACTCCGCCTGCCGCTCCTCCAGGGTTTCTGTTAGTCCCGAGCCCGGGTAAAGGAGGAGTGTTGAGGATGGGGTCAGCAACTCCATCCCGTAGAAAATAACCTTGCAAAAAAGCACCAACCAGATTAGACAAATTCAACCATTTAAACTCTACTCTGGCAGTTGAGTGAAGAATTATGACGCCTCATGATGAAAGACGGGATTCTTTGGAAGTCACGAGGCCGATACCCCTTCTAACAACCGGAGCAACAATTTTTATAGGTACATGGAGCGTCCGGACAATCTAGGAGACCGGGAGGACCAGTCAAATAGCGACGAAAATGAGGAGATACGACTTGGCATTGCTCAGAATCAGCGGAACCCATTTGACCCAAGCTGGGTAGCAAAGGCTAGATATGGGAGAGATGCTGCTGTACTCCGGTCACAAAGAAGAAAATGTTCCACACACTCCGGGTGTTGCTCTGATGCTGTCCTATAACAGTAGGCCTTCACAAGCAAAAGGGAGAAAGCAATATCCTCAAACACAACAGAAAACACCAAACCAATCACATTTGATGGGGGGGGGATCTAGAAGATTTAGAATCTTTCACGTATCTAGGAAGCATAATCGATGAACGTGGAGGACCCGATGCAGACGTTACCACGAGGATTGACCGAGTAAGGGTCTCATTCCTACAGTTGAAGAATATACGGAACTCAGAACAACTGTCTCTCAACCAATATCCAAGTCAGAATCTTCAATACGAACGTCAATACAGTTTTATTTTATGGAGCTGAAACTTGGAGAATTACCACAGTCATCATCTAAATGTACAAGTATTTATAAACAGTTGTCTACACATGATACTCAATATACGTTGACTGGATATCATTGGTAATACCGTACTATGTAAGAGAACAAAATAGCTTCAAACAGAAGAGGATATTAGGAAAAGTTGCTGAGGGTGAATAGGATATACATACGGAAATTACCAAACTATATCAGGAGGCAAGCCCTAACTTGAAATCCTGAAGGGAAACGGAAGAAAGAAATACTGAAGAAGACACTACGTCGGGACATAGAAGTAGACATGAAAAGGATGAATAATAACTGGAAACGACTGTCTAGGACAGAGTTGGATGGAGAGTGCTGGTGAGCGGTCTATGCGCTTCCATGAAAGGCAACAGACTTAAGTAATTAAAGATCAAAGCTTTATAAATGACGGATTTCCACGAAATGTTTAACTACAGTATTCATTTCTTTTTAAATTGTTCATGATATTTATCAGTTGCTTAAAGTGGTCACCTTCAGTTTTTCAAGTATTAGTTCACTGAGTAGGGAACAGTATTGTGTAATCTCTTTATAGAACTTAAATATAATCTTTATATTCAAATCTTTAGACGAATTGTCATCTTGTATTCCAAGATTGCATATAAATCAATCATTTTATGTCACTTTTTAGTCGTATAACCTAATCATTTGAATCAATAATAGTAACAGAACATGTGTATTAAACATGTACGAATTCAGATTATCCTAGTAGAGCACAATACTTACTCTCACTGTAGTTTTTCGAAAAATGTATTATTTGCCAGAAATAACCAAGCTGATAGGCGAACGCTGTTATCATTCTAACCTATTCAACTGGTTGCTTAGGTCAACGGTATGATGTTTTTACCTACTTCGGTCTTGGTAATCAAGCATTCCTCACACCTGGAGTGTAGCTCATACGGAAGTAGCTGGTTGTATTATGTTTAAATTCCCCATAATCTTAAAACTCCTAAGAATGAAGCCTGTAAAAACAATAGGTAAATAAATTAATACTATTAAACTACTAAAGATATCTGAGAAGTCTCGCTGAGCTATCTCAGTTTACGACTGGCCCTCTGTGGACCGAATAATGAAGGTTCAAATCTCCAAGAGTTATAAATACAACATGATATTCTTCATTATTAACTAACGTAACCTGTAAAACCACTAACAATAGAGAGATATTAAACATTTGTCTACTCTTCTTTCCGAGCATTCATGCTTAAGAGCTAGAAAGATAATCCAGTCGCCAATTTGAAATCTAGACGTTCACATCGGTATCCCTACTTAGTTAATGCTTCATCGTTGAATTTGTTAACTATGCAGTCTCACTCCTATTAATAATTCAAAAAAGATCTATCTTTAATATAATTATGTAGTACATAGTTGATAGCGAGTAAAGTGGTTTTGTGGATATTTTAAACAATTTGGAAATCATTTTCATTTCAGTTTGTGCTGGATATTATGTTCGAATTGCATCGTTCCGTTTCGTTGAAGAGACTCTCTCTTTTAATTATCTTTTCATTTATTAACTGTTGAATGGTTTTTGAGTTTTTGATAATTAAGGTTTTTCGACTGTTTGACTAAGTGAACCACCAAACTCCCTGGTACGGCCAAGATTGGGGAGAGTCGACTCACATCGAAATGCTCTGACATAGCCACGTGCATACAACCACTGCCAGGGAAGTCCTACTCAATGCCTCACTAACGGAGTGTTGTTTACGAAATTGGGAGGACGAAAAGCGAATGTCCGGAGCTTTAACCGGGTTGGTGAACACAGAGAGTTCACCTTGGGCAGTTGGAAAACCCTGATTCCAAACCAATGGTGTACATGGGTTCCAGTATCCTGAAGGAACAAATGGCGCATGAACCAACTATTGGTCACCGGGTGTAATCCCTTAAGAAAACCGCCTGCTTGGGTTTGGGCACCCGGGCAGTTTCCTAGCCCTCACATAAATCGGATTATTTATGTGGCGCATATCTATTTGATGCCTCCTTGTACCAATGTTTATGTGTTTAAATAAATAAATCTATTTTGATTAAATGAAGCACTTAACAGTGATTGATATCCAATCATACAATGTGTTCAACTAATTATGACACTAAATGATTAAGATATGACTCTTAGTAAACTATCATAAAATACACAAGATTAACCAGTAGAATAAAATGCTTCTTAGTAAATTAATTCGCTTACGGTACAAAATATTCAACACCAATATAATTATGATTAGGAGTTATTTGCAACATATTTATTCGAAGAATGCAGATTTTCTAGATATCTCACACATATACCTCTAAGAGTTGCAATTTTTATCAGTTGAATATACCATTACTAAAATAATGTTATTGTTTTTCATCTGTTTTGTTTTGATTCATAACTGATTTGTGTATAGCATTGGATTAAATCTGGTCAACCAGTTGGTTTTGCATTAATTTTGGCTCCTACTCGTGAATTGGCTCAACAGTTAGCCAATGAGGCTGAACGTTTAGGACAGTGTAAAACAGATGAGTTAGAATTTCATTTAGAAGTAATTCTTCTTGTCGGTGGTGAAGATATGGTAGATCAAGCGTTAAAACTTGCATGGAGAAAACATCATTTCATTGTAGGTAAATGAACTTATATTTTATTGAGTTGAATATATTTTTCTCATACGTGTTTAACATTCTTAATGTTAATTGTGATAGCTTTACGCTAAGCTACGTCCTTATGAGGGGGGCAAACCAAAACGTGGCATCAGTCCATAAAAAGTCACTAACTTCTGGTCTGAGCCATGTTGGAAGATTCAGACTGCCTGGTTGGGGTCTGCGTGACTATCGTAACCAATGGTTGGAGACTCTTAGTGACATGGCTCAGAATCGATCACAATGGCGTCGGTGTATACACTCTCTGTCTTCCTTAAATTTAGAGATTAAAATCGCTTCATATCTTTCTAGGAACTAATTCTTTCTTTCTTGTTGTGCTGATGCGGTATGGCAATTGGGACCGATGCATATACGTGCCTGGTCCTATGTTGCAGCTGACTGACTGACGTCCTTATGGTTATGTACATCTGCTTGAATTCTAATTAAAAGGGATATTTACATTTAAGAAATGAAGAAAAATGATACATTTGTATATATTATTTTACAATATCACTGACGAGAAGCTAAATACATAAATGCCGTGGTAGTGCCAGGAGTAGAGAAAGTCCTCTCTACCTATCGAAATGCTCTCGCACGGCCACGCGTATACAGCCACTGCAATGAACTTCCTACTCAGTGCCTTCTGGCGGCGGGGGTGTTGTTTACGAATGTTTGGCGCTTAACCGAATTGGTGGACACGGAGCATCCAAATAAACAAGTAGTCGAAGTATTTCACAGGCTAGCTATCTTCGTTCGGAAGGTAAACATCAATTATTTAGTTTTAGAAGAGGTTATCATCCGATCATGTCCTATCACTGCGTTTCTTCTATTGATTTCTATCTTATTAATTCACTATTCATCAGATTTTCAAAATATCGTTCATGACAATTAGGTGCTTTTATCACTCATATACCACTGGTGTTGAATGTTTATAAAATCGAGTTTTAAAATAGTAAAAATCTTCAAGTTTTGAATACTAATGAGGAGTCCCACAATGGAATAAAACGGCTGTCCAGTGCTTCTGGGTTTTCAATGGTGATCTAACATCAATCGATTCGTGATCTCAATCAAAAACTTAATCTCCACAACTCTATACTGATAGTTACCATGTGCTCACTAGTGACTAGCATCGTGACGGAATTTTCGGAGTTCTAGTGGGAAGCCGTGACCAGTGGAGCTAATCCATATCGGATAGAGATAGGTATCTACCTCAATGCAATCGAAGATGGTCGCGCAATTTCATGGACATTAACAACGTTGGACGCCGAACGACTCAGTTGTCTAGAGGTTAAGCGTTCCCACGCGAAACTGAAAGCCCTGCGTTCAAATCCTGTGGACGGAATCATAGATACACACTGCTAGGGAGTCCTACAATAGGTTGAAACGGCCGTCCAATACCTCTAGGTTTTCAACGGTGATCTAATACCAATGAATTCATGATTTCAATGAAAAACTTAATAATCTTCACAACCCCTATACTAATAATTATTCCTTTTTATTTTTCATACATCATTTTCTAAAGCAACTCCTGGACGTTTAGTTGATCATTTAAAACAATCAGTTAATTTTGCTACACAACAATTATCAAATATTCGTCATTTAGTATTAGATGAAGCTGATAGAATGTTAAATATGGCTTTTGCTGATGATATTGACATAATATTAAATTTATATGAAAAACCAAAATCAAAAGGAAAGAAACGTAAACGTAAGACGAAACCACTGTTAGTTCAATTAGCCGATAATAATAATAATAATAATAATAATAATAATAATAATAATAATAATAATAATAATAATGATATGACTAACAATGGTAAGTATGAATAATGTCTGTTTAAATGTATCTTATTGTTTAATGAATTTGGTTTTGGATTTCTGTGTGTATTAATGTTTGGTTTTTTCTCGCTAATATTATGATCTACGTTCAGTACATAAATCTTTATCTATCCAACTATCTCATGAGACATGAGAAGTATATCATCTTAAAGGCTGAATCAAACTGCTAAGTTTCCTAATTGAATACTAGATTTAGTTTCCTAAGCTCTTTTAGTAACACTCAGGCTAAATCTACACAGCAACTTGAACATAAGAGAAATGGCGCGAAATATGGAAGAAAATGTTTTCCTCCGAAGATTCGTTTATGTACAGAAAATCTAAAGTATTTATAAGCAAAGATAGGTAGTGGCTAGCAGTGGAATCCAGGACGCTCGTTTCGTTCTACGTGGGACTCGTCAGCCAGATGTACCTGCATCCTAGAGTTGATGTTCACTCTAGAACTCGAACCCAGTGCCGTTGGCTTCAAACGCCATTACGTTATCCACTTAGCTACTAAGTCCTGATAGCCATGAGACTGATCAATTGCAGTCCTAAATAACAATGGGAAGATACAAGTAAAACAACACCAAGTAAATTTTAAGTATTTATATTATTTTAGATGGCTTTGGGCTTTCGAAAATTTCTGGAACGCTGCTGAACATAGTATCAGTATAGGTAATCGTCCAATCAGAAACTCGACATGTAACTTTTGACTTTCTAGATGTTTCTGGCAAAACTCCTATTGAATTCTGATTGGATAAGGGGGTTTCTCAGTGGTTTCAGAACCTTTTTTGACTTTTTATGAAGAGTTTTCTGGATCCCTTCAACAGAAACTATCCATGATTCATATGTGTTTTCACACAGTAACCAAAATGATCTCGGCAAGAATATATAAATAGTGATTATGAGTTCCAGCTTATTAACAATTTACATATTATCGGTTGGCCTTAAACGTTATATGAATTGCTAGTGATACATATAACACAAAACTGAATCTCTTGCTTTTTCTTATCCGAAAGTATATAAGGCGTACCTTTGTTCATAATGAGCCTTAGTGTGTGTGTTGGGGGGTGTAAGAGATCAACATATTTGTGCGTTACATGCTAATTTGAGCTCCTTAGATCTACGCCTACCTATAAGCCTTTACGATATTGGACATAAAATTGATTCCAGTATAGTGAAAAGTCCCGTTTTGACATTTATTAAGGATGAATAGAGCCAAGAAATTTTTCGATTAATGTTTTCGTCATGGTTCTACACTAATATATCTATGTATGATGTATAACAATGAAATACACATCAAGTAGTTGCGTTACCTAATTGTATAATGTCACAGTGATGATAAATTAATATTGAGTAAGTGGAAGGGAGAGGATCATAATAATCAAAGTAATTATTCGGAAAATCAAGCAGTTGCTACATTGCATAGTAAATAAAAAGAAAAAAATAACAAAAGTTCTTGATTAAAGGTCATTATTATTATAGTAGTTATGATGGGATCAAGGGACGCATTTTGTAAACATAAAATACAACATGGAAGAAACTAGAAAATGGTTAATTTAATGAGTCGGTCTAAGCTAAACTACCATTGGAAACCTGGAAGCATTGGACGGCCGTTTTGCCCTAATATGGGACTCCTCAGCAATGCGCATCCATGATCCCACATGCGGGACTCAAACTCAAAACCTTTGATCTCGCGTGCGAACGTTTAACCTCTAGACTATTGAGTCGTTGTCGAAGTGTTAATGTCCAACTACAATCGATGCATGATCTTGCGTAACCCTTAATCCATTGTCTGGGGTGGATAACAGTCTCCACTCGACACGGATTGGACTCCACTGGTCACGGCTTCTCATTAGATGCACACTGCTGAGGAGTCCCGTATTAGGATGAAACGGTCATCCCGTGCTTTCAGGTTTTCAATAGTAGTTTAGCTTAAATCTACTCGTGAATTCAACTATTAAAATTTCTACAATTTTCATAACCCCCATTCCGATAACTAGAAAGTAGTTTAAATTTTTTTGAAGAAAAGGGTTTCATCAAAGTTCAGCTCACAACTTACTTTAATACTGATGGCCAATGTAACAAGAGTGATTGTACAGACGATTTTTGAATGCAAATGTTTGGTTTATGAACATGGCTTTAGCAATGTGCAACAAATGAACTCGTAAATTATATAGTAAATTTGATAGAATATGGTGGATAACCTTAAAAGCTTTATTCAAGCCAACTTGATTAATAAATTTTGCGTTATGATTCAAGTTCTTCATGAGTATCCGCCTGTTTTCTATTCAGTCAGTTTTCAGGAAAAGTGATAACGTGTAATTCCAACAACTCAATGATATATACATGAACGACAATACCAATTCACTGTTATCGTTATTACAAGGGGCTTACAGTGATTGTTCAGTTTGCAGTTGATATCATGGATTGAATTTATTTAAGCAGCACTCCAAAATCAGGAAGCTTTGGACAACTGTTTTATCCTAGTATGAGGCTGCTCAGCAATGCACATCCAAGACTCTACCATGAATTAGGTCCAGGACATTCAAATCTCGCCATGAGCTCATAACTTTTAGATATCTGAGTCATTATCCAATAATATACATTTTTAATCTCAGTTAATTCGCATTATTGTGTGATCTGGGTAACCTCATTTATTTATTTATTTGAACACATAAATATTGGTACAAAGGGGCATCGAAAGTATATGCCACACAACTCACTTGGTTTGTGTATGGGTTGTGATACTAGCTGGGTGCCCAAACCGAAGCAGGTGGTTTTCTTAGGAGGCCACACCCTGAGCCTTTAATTTAATGGTCTAATCCACAAGGTAGTGGAAGAACTTCAGGAGATGCAGTCCCATGGTAGCCAGTCACCAATAACTGGTTCATACTCCATTTGTTCCTTCAGGATCCTGGATTCCATGTTTATCATTAGTTTGGAAACAGGGTTTTCCAACTTCCCTAGATAGACCCTTCGTGCCTACCAACTTAACCAACAAAGCTCCGAACATTCGCTTTTCATTCTCTCAATTTCGTAAACAATACCCCATTCGTTAGGCAATGAGTAAAACTTCCGTAGCACTGTCTGTGTACGTGTAACTATGTGAGAGAATTTTGAGATAGAGAACGAATTCTCCCCATCCTCGGCCGTATCAGGGTATGTTTGAACTTTATTGGTAATAGTGAAACAAATATTCAGTTACTACCTCGTTTTCAGTAGTTTTCTAAATTTGTGATATAACCTTTATTAATTTGTTATCATAAAGTCAAAATGCCCTGGTACGTCCGAGAGTGGGGAGAGTCCGCTTTCTCTCTCAAAATGCTCTCACATGGCCACGCGTATATAGCCTCTGCCACGGAAGTCCTACTCACTGCCTTCTCGTGGCGGGGGTGTTGTTTAAGTAATTGTGAGGACGAAAAGCGAATGTCCGGCGCTTTAACCGGATCCCAAACCAATGGTGCACGTGGGCTTCAGTACCCTGAAGGAACAAATGACGTATGAACCAATCATTGGTCACCGGCTACCATGGGACTGCATCTCCTCACGATGCTCCCCTGCCTTGTGGGTCAGACCTTTGGGTCAAAGACTCGGGGTGTGGCCCCCTAAGAAAACCACTTGCCTTAGTCTGAGCACCCGAACGGTATCACAGCACACACACAAATAAAATGAGATTTATGTGGAGCATATGTATTTAGTGCCTCCTTGTACCGATATCTATGTGTTCAAATAAATAAATAAAAACATTCCCTCAGGATCCTGGATTCCATGTTCATCAGTTTGGAATCAGGTTTTTCCAACTTTCCTAGGTGAACCCTTCGCGTCCACTAATCCGGATAAAGCGCCGATCATTTGCTTTCCATCTTTTCAATTTCGTAAACGACATCCGATGATTGAGGCATTGAGTAAAACTTCCGTGATAGTTGCTGTATACACATGGTCCTGTGAGAGGATTTTGAGAGGGAGAACGAATTCTCCCCACCCTCGGTCATACCAGCGCATGTTTGAACTCCATTAGTAATAATGAAACAAATATTCAGTTACTATCTCGTTTTCAATAGTTTTCTAAATTTGTTATATAACCTTTATTAATTTATTATCATTCTGTATGTATATGTATGTTTCTAAACTTTAATATGTCTATAACACTTTTAGACATGATGTCAAATAACAAAATGATTAAATCAATTCCCATATCAACAAAATATCCTCATCCACAAATTTATTTATATTCGGCAACAATGACAAAAGATGTTATTAAACTACGTCGTGCTGCATTATCATTAAATGCTATATTTATTAATGTAAATAATGAATATTTAGAAATGAATCCAATGATAAATGATCATAGTACAACAGAATATCATCTTATACAACAATCTAATTCATTATTAAAATTAAATAAAAATTTAAAAACTGGTTTCCCTATAGGATTATCTCATTATTGTCTTCCTATACGATTAGCTGATCGTCCTACAATATTAAATTGGATTGTAGAAAATGTAATACAAACAAACTTGTTGGAAAAATTCAATATTATTAGTAAGTAGTATAATTTATATATGGAGCGGGATCATGAATGCGTACTGTTGATGAGTTCCATACTAGAACGAAACGGCCGTCCAGTGCTTTCAGATTTTTTCATAGTGGTCTAGCTTCAATGGATTCATGATTTCAACCAGTGAAATTTCTAAAATCTCCACATAATCGCTTCTGATAATAATTAGTTCTATGTCAATGAAATAGATTAAATGAATTATATCTTTCAATGATCATATCATTTGATCATTTAAATCATTAGATTATCCTATTCGAATCGATGAAAGTATCACTATTGGTGGCTACATTGCAACATGATCGATAGCATTCGATCTGCACTAATAAGGACTAGACAAGCATGACATTGATCACCACCCAGTAATCAATCAATTGTGATTACATTTCAGTCCTACAGGAGGTCGGTCACGGCCTGGATAGCTCAGTAGTAACGTCTGTGACTGTGAAGCTGAGTGACACGGGATCGAATCCGTCAGGGAGCAGCAGTTCCCTCAAGATTACAGGTACGCCTTGCTGACGAGTGCTAAGTAGCACGAAACAAGGGGTTAGGGTTTCCTGTTGACTACCTCCAACCACCATCTAGATTGGTTTTATTATTTAATGAGTGCTATTAGAGATACTCATTCAAGGTATTACGGAATGATGGTAAATCAGTTGATGAAGTTGTGAATCTTCATCCATTGAAATGGTTGGGCCACGTGTTACATATGCCTGAACTCCGATTATCACGACGCACAATACTAACCGGTGTTGGGAATGCCTGGAAGAAAGTTGGGAGTGACCAAAGCAAAACGTGGCATCAGTCCATAAAAAGTCACTAACTTCTGGTCTGAGCCATGTTGATAGATGCAGACTGCTTGGTTGGGGTCCGCGTGACTTTCGTAACCAATGGTTGGAAATTCTTGGTGACATGGCTCATAATTGATCATAGTGGTGTAGGTGTATACACTCTCTGTGTTTCCTTAAACCGTCATATTAAAACTGCTTTATGGTTTGCTATCTACTTACTAATTCTTTTTTCCTGTACTATACCCTTATATGCAATCTTTCTTTTACATATTACCACTATTGAATTAACTTCTCCCATGAATCCGGTATTCATCTTGCTGTGCTAATGAGGTATGGCAACTTGTATCGATGCATATATGTGCCTGATCCTACGTTGTAGCTGACTGACTGATTGTTGAATGAGCAGTCACACGGTACCTTAGTAAAATGTTAAAATCATACATCAAATACATCATTTTCACATTTTTGAATTGTGTCTTACAAGCTTCATTGTTCCTATATTCCTGTTGTTATCTTGGTTGCTTTCAGTTTCATTGTCTCTTCTCATTTTCATTCTTTTTAATCTTCTGCTCTCAGACATTCCACTTACTATTGGTGCTATATACTACTTATGTCTGTAAACATAAGTAGCATACATCACAATACAAATGAATAATTTAGTGCACAAAACCCTCCAAAATTATTAAAAGTTTGGGATAAAAGGGATAAATGCTTTGTGGTCATACGGATAATTACCTATGCACTCAAGCAACTAGCTCTTAATGGAATTATAAGTGAACTCAACGGAAAGAAACAGACAACCTCATGAGTGAATAACTTCAATATTGATTTCCAAGGTTGTTCTCATCCATCCTATCTATGAGAAACAGTTATAATTAATGGAGGAAGACTGTAGTTGAATGTATCATATATTGCAAACTGACTAAACCATTGAATCCCACTATAAAAACTAATAAATATCACGTTCATTGGATGACCTGAAACCTCGTTAATAATTAATTGGAATCTAGGAGGACATAATTGTTGTCGCATACTTCATGGTTAATTAATGATACTTTCTTCTGAAAGAAGTCAACCTTAGACCACAAACACTCGATTTTCGTTAGTTGCATTCTAAAATCAGTAGCATTGAGATAGAAAAACAAACAAGTGTCTTATTCTTAATATCAGTGATATTAGGGTTTTGTAGAGATAGTCGAATTCGATGGTCCGCATTGTAAACCTACCTACCTTAGTCAGATAATCATTGGAAATTAGAAAACGGTGCGCAACTATTTCGTACCAATATGAACCTTTCCAACAGTGCGCGTCTGTGCCTGTATCGGAGATCGATTCCATGATATTTGAGCTCTTGGGATAAGCCGTTAACCTTTAGATTATTAAAGTGGCGTAAGTCCTGTGTACATTAACCTGTGTTTATCAGTCGACTTATGCTTATCAGTGTTGGTTGAAATCTTTTGCTACGGTATTTTACAATTGCAATATTAAACATAAGCTATGATTGGACACTCAATTAATCGAATTCCAGAAATAAATGATTTGACCAAATTAAATTTCTCATGGAAGCAAACCATGAATTCCCATCAGAATAGATCTCAGTAAATTCAACCACTAAGTGAGTATTTGAATATACCTTCAAAAAGTAAACATCATTACGCATCTGTAGATTATTCAACTAATACAGTATTGTTATGTCGATAAAAAGATAGATTACTTGGTTGAATTGTATTGGGTTTCCCCGTATAATGACTGGAAAGCAGTTATATGATCTCTATCTCTAATCCAATTACCTATTAGTTCACTTATATTACCAATAGAATCGGTAACTATCTAAGCATTAAAATGACACCGACAAATCAATATCAACCCAGATCTTAATGCTTACGGGTTTTCAAACTAATTTTACCCAGCGTCCAATCAGAAAATGTAAAATTTAAAATCAGAGCATTTCTCTATTATACTCAATTCAATCATGATTCAAAACTGATACAATAATTATACTTGAAATGTTCAACCACATAACAACACAATTAAGGAAGCACAATATGTACATAACCCGAAATAATGAGGGAATATTTAATCTATGACAAATCTGAAATAATAAGACATAACGACGATTTGTGCATCAGATCTAAGTTTAAAAGTATGAGAATGTAAAATTATAACAGTCTACCTACTTACTTACGCCTATTACTCCCAGTGGAGCATAGACCGCCAATTAGCATTCTTCACTCCACTCTATCATGGACATTCCTTTTTAGTTCTATCCCATTGTTCATTCTTCTCATATCTGTCTCCATTTCTCGGTGTAATGTGTTCTTTGGTCTTACTCTTCTCCTTTGAACTTGATGGTTTCAGGTGAAGTCTTGCCTTGTGACACAGTCTAGACATCTACTAATTATACAATAAAATTATCAACAATGATCCTTCGTGTAATAAGTCCCATGAGTTTTACCTGTATACTATTTATCCCACCATATTTAGTATAATTTTGAATAACTTGTCACAAGAAAAGAATAAAAAATGAATGTCACAATTTGTTATAACTTGTGCCCTGTCTCTTACTAATGTATAATGTGATGATACCGCCAATCAGAGAACAGTGACTTATCGATCGGACCAATGATGTATAAAAACCGTACGAACAGCCTAGAGTCCTTATCGGTCCTGCTTTCCGCCTAGCCCAGCCTATTCAATCCAGAATACCAATCTCAGCCTCTGCAATATGAATCATGCATTTCAAACGTACTGGGTTTACATACACCAGCCAAACAGACCACATCGTACCATAAAATACGAAACACCATTTGTACAAGATTTAGCCACATGTAGCTGTAAATGTGGGTGGTAGTAATTGATAGACTGAACACAACTCAAGAATGGTAAGTCGTATAATAACATTTCATATGTCAAAATAAAGCTTATGATAAAAGGGACATAAATATGCAGTTAGTTTAGTTACTTAGCAATTACATAGTAAAAATATACGTATCGTATTGGTGACTTTGTAACCTAGAATGTGCCGATGACATAGTTCTATTTGGTGAAGACGCTGACGAAATGCAGAGTCTTCTGACCAGCCTAAGCAACAATGCAATCATGTTCGGGATGCGATTCTCTCCCTCGAAATGCGGAATTTTGCTTTAGGATTGGGTTGCATCGACATCCAAACTGATGATAAGAAGTGAAGTAGTTGAGCGTGTCGACCGCCTTACTTACCTGGAAGTCTCATCAGCCCTTGTGGTCTGGTGTGTGACGAAATCTCAGCACGGATGGAGAAGGCTCGACTAGCTTTTGCCAACATGCGTCATTTATGGCGTAGGCGAGATATCCGTCTATCAATCAAAGGACGTGTTTACTGAGCAGCAGTTCGTTCCGTCCTACTTTATAGCAGTGAAAAATGACCCGTAAGAGTAGAGGATATTCGTAGGTTACTAGAATTCGATCATAGGTGTCTTCGATGCATTGCTCGTATATCCTGGGACCACCGAGTAAGTAATACAATTGTTAGGAAACAAGTAGTAGTTAAGGATGGCAAATCAATTGATGAAGTAGTGAAACTTGATCAGTTGAGATGGCTGGGACACATGTTATGTATGCCCAATCACCAACTGCCCCGACTTGCGATGTTTTATGATGTAGGAGTAAGTTGGAAGAAAGGTAGGGGCGGCCAGACTAAAACGTGGTACAAATCCATGAAGTCACTGACCAGTGGACTGAGTCACGTTGGTATGTGTAAACTACCTGGTTGGGGACCACGAGATGATAGCGACCGATGGTTAGAGACCTTGAATGACATGGCTCAAAATCGTTTGTAATAGTGTGCGCAGGTGCATCCACTCTTTGTGCCCCCCCCCAAATTCTAATCTACTGAATTCTTCGTGTACCTTTCCTTTTTCTCTTTCCAAATTTATTTCACTGTATTATACTCCTTGAATAACATCTTCAAACCCTAATCTTTCTGAGTACTGCTTATACTTTTACTACCTCTACCACTATGGAATTTGAATCGACAATTGTATCTGTGCAAATGTGTTGTGGGAACTCGAACTGATGTACATACGTACGAAGTTCCACGTTGTTTCTGACTAACTGATTGACCATATATGGATCCCAAAAGTTACTATTCATTATTCTTATCGGGAAATAATATAATTATTATCCTTTAAACTATTACTAATTGCCTATTTAATATTTATAGGTTCTACACCAAGTCAAAAACATCATATCATGATATTTTGTAAAAGATGTCATGAAACTATAATGGTTGCTGAGTTTCTTCGTGAATCTGGTCATTCCACTGTGGCATTAACAGGACGTATGAAACAAATTGAACGTAAAGAATCATTAAATAAATTTATTACAAGTGAAGTAGAAATTTTAGTTGCAACTGATGTTGCTAGTCGGTATGTTGATTCCAACAAAACTTTTGCCCTAAGAATTCTAAGCGAACTTATAATTTATGGACGAACTAAATCAGTTTTAAGGTAGCGGGTTTTAGATTTTGGTACGAAATTCATCTACTCACTGTCTTCTCGTGGCGGGGGTGTTTTTTACGTAATTGTGAGGACGAAAAGCGAATGTCCGGCGCTTTAACCGGATCTCAAACAAATGGTGCACATGGGCTCCAGTATCCTGAAGGAAAAAATTGCGTATGAGAACCAATCGTTGGTCACCGGCTACCATGAGAATGCATTTCCTTACGATGCTCCACTGCCTTGTGGACCAGATCTTCAGGTCGAAGGTTCGGGGTGTGGCCCTCTAAGAAGACCACCTGCTTCGGTTTGGTCACCCGAGCAGTATCACAGCCCTCACACATATCAAATGAGATTTGTGTGGCGCATATGTATTTGGTACCTCCTTGTACCAATATCTATGTGTTAAAATAAATAAATAAATATCCATATAATTAAATAGCGTTTTGGCATTATAACTAATGTTAACTCTAATTCCTAAGCTTTTAGTTTTAACTCTTAATCCTAATCCTAATTCCTTACACTACTCTATAACCTTCATTCAATCCTATTAGGTAGATGGATCTTCTGAAGGTCACTTTAGCATCGCTTAAAGGTTGTCCATAAATTATAGGCTCGCCAAAATTCTTTTCTATTAATTAATCGTGTTTTTTATAATTGGATGTACAGTAATTACTATCTTAAGAGTAAAGTAGCATGTCTTAAAGGGGAATAAGTTTTTAAAGGGTATGTAATTTATTTTAAAACCCTCTTACCCTCCACTATTCACTTCTACCAATCAAAATCGTTGTTTCATTTGGGTAATGAAATGCTTATTATCGGACATACTAATATAGTGACATTGAAATAATCACGCAAGTACTTTTTTGAAAAATAAAAAAAGGTGGACATTTATGAATTCTATTCTCCACTGCTCTGCTCTGTACAAAACGTATCAACAGATTATGTAATGTATAGATATTAGTCAGTGATTGGAGGTAGTCGATAGGAAACCCTGGACCCGGGTTTCGTGCTACTTGGCACTCGTCAGCAATCACCATCTAATCTCACAATAGTGCCCGCAGTGTCTAGTCACCTAGACTGGTGGCCACATTTCAACATGGTCGATAGCATTTCATCTGCACTAATAATAAGGACTAGACAAGCATGACATTGGTCACCACCCAGTGATCAATCAATTGTGATATTAGTCAGTATTCTATATCATCTTGTGTGTGTTATGATTGAACTAACCATGCCTGTGCTACTAACTCGGTGATTGGAATTGATTATGCTTATTAGTTCATACAAAGCTCCTCTTCCCCCCCAGTTTCCAAACCGACAAAGAGAAAAATATGTATGTGACCTTTGTATGTTAACTTAAAAATCCCACATGATTAAACATTTATGTCTTGTAGACGACTCTCGCTAACGGATTCATATGGCTCATACACTATTTGTTCCATCAAGATCATGGAGCCTATGTTAAACATTATTTAGAAATAAGGTTTGTCCAACTCACCTAACTAGATGGCCTATATCCACCATCCAGTTTCAAGCCCAGACAGTCGTTTTTCAGTCATCTCACTCTGGAAAAAGCAACACCAGCCACATGAAGACAGTGATTAGAGATAGTAAACGCATAGTCGAATGGGAGTATTTCGGTAGGAAACGTGGTTTGTCACCATTGTCGAGTATACCAGTTGACTGGGAGGTGAGTAACAGCTTCCTGTTTTTCACTAATAACTCACATGATCACATATGTTATTTCTTCAGAATTCACTGACCGAACATTACGTTTCCAGTCATCAGTTAGGATCCTACTTCTAATCTGTAACTAATTGTCTCTAATTTGTTGATTTACACACCTGATCATCACTATTGACCTTGAGCTGATAGCCTAGTCCCTGTTGTTTCACTATTTTGAAGCTTCCCTCTATGTCTTGCTTTTGAGTTCAGAAGTCACCAAATAACCTGTACTACATTTGTATTTCAAACGGAAGTGGTTTATATACAGAGATTACAGCAGACCTCATTACACCACAAAATGAAAAATAACAACCATACATGAACAAGCCAATAGTGGCTGTGAATAGAGGAGACTGTAGATAATCGACTGACAACAATTTAAGAGTAATAAGTTGTAGAACAGTAGTGAATATGTCAGCCGAAAGCTTATGATGAATGGAATATATACACATAGTAATCGACTTAATTAATGATTATAGAATAAAGTTATAATTTTAAAAGTTGAATTGATGGGTCGATCTAGGCTAGACCACCATCGAAAACCTGAAAACATTGAACGGCTGTTTTATCCTTGTATGGAACTCTTCAGCCATGCGCATCCATGATCCCTCACTCATGAATCTAACTTGTGACCTTTGATCTTGCGCACTTAAACTGTTCAGTACTTCCTAGTCTTCAGTAATTGTCCTTGATGTGAAATCTACAAGTTATTTTTCTTCAATTAATAATCAATTATTTATTTTTTTTCTTCAGGGGACTGGATATTCCTCATGTTGAACTTGTTATCAATTATAATGTACCTTTATCGGAAAAAACTTATCGACATCGTGTTGGTAGAACTGCACGAGCTGGTCAAACTGGTGTAGCTTTAACTCTAGTAACACGTGATGTAGCTCAAAGTTTTTTAGAATTAGAAGCTTCTTTACTACCTTATCTTCCATTATCAACTGCCAATAATAACAATAATAATAATAATAATAATAATAATAATAATAATTCACCGGGAATACCTCGTTGGCCAATTCCACTACCGGATTTACATGGTAGGAATGGATTGCTAACTCGTCGTCGTCTAGCAGATCAAGCTTGGTCGAGAGCTTCAAAGGTAATTTCGTTTTTTTTAAATTTAATTCATGAACCGATTGATGTTAGACCACTATTAAACACCTGGAAAAACTGGACGGCTCTCTCAACGTATTGTGGGACTTCTCAGCAGTGAGGTTTGAACCCAGGGCCTTCAGTTTCGCGCTCGAACGCGGTAACCGACGGTGTTAATGCCTAACCTCAACCAATCCGTGAAATTGCGCGACTATCTTCCATTGTACTGAGGTAGATATCTGTCTCTACCCGATACGGATTCGTTGCTCTGATCATGGCTTCTCACTAGAACTCTGAGAATTCCCTCATGAAGTCACTGACATACGATAACTTGTCAACCTTAATAATCCATATGGTAAGTGAAATAGAACAGACAGGACTTTCTGAATAGTTTGATACTCCAAACAGAATTTAAAATCGAAGCATAACAATTCATCATATATGACACGAAAAAGTGACCTTCGTACATGGGAAAATTAACTTTCTGCTTACAATCTTTAGAGAATGTAGGTTTGAGATCTCTTGTTTACTACATTCATTAACCTAACATCATAAACATACTGTACACTATATCAAGTCCTGTAGATTGGTAGCCATTACTCATTGATTCATCACTTATCAAGTCGATGAGCAGAACAATTTAATTGTAATATAGTTTGATAGGGCGATAGCTTAGAGTGATCAAAGCAACGGGTTTTCAGTTGCAAGTTCGAGAAACTCATAATATACCCACTTCTTTTGGAAGTCTGATCAGCCCTAATGGGTTGGTGTCTGACGAAATCTCAGCACGGATTCGAAAAGCTCGCTTGGCCTTTGCCAACTTACGTCATCTATGGCGAAGGCAAGATATCCGTCTATCAATTAAGGGACGAGTATATTGCGCGGCAGTTCGTTCCGTTCTACTATACGGCTGCGAAACATGGCCTTTAAGAGTAGAAGATATTCGTAAGTTACTAGTATTTGACCACAGATGCCTTAGAAATATTGCGGGTATCTGCTGGGATCACCGGGTAAGTAATAATGAGGTTAGACGCAGGGTATTAGGGAATGATGGTAAATCAGTTGATAAGGTTATGAACCTTCATCGACTGAGATGGTTGGGCCACGTGCTGCCTGAACACAGATTACCACGACGCGCAATGGTAACCGGTGTTAGGGCTGACTGGAAGAAAGTTAGGGGCGGCCAAACCAAAACGTGGCATCAGTCCATAAAAAGTCACTAACTTCTGGTTTGAGCCATGTTGGAAGATTCAGACTGCCTGGTTGGGGTCCGCGTGACTATCGTAACCAATGGTTGGAGACTCTTAGTGACATGGCTCAGAATCGATCACAATGGCGTAGGTGTATACACTCTCTGTCTTCCTTAAATTAAGAGATTAAAATCGCTTCATATCTTTCTAGGAACTAATTCTTTCTTCCTGTACTATCTCCTTATACACAATCTTTCTTCTATATATTACCACAACTGAATTAACTACTTCTATGTATCCGGTGTTCATCTTGTTGTGCTAATGCGGTATGGCAACTTGGACCGATGCATATACGTGCCTGGTCCTACGTTTCAGCTGACTGACTGACTGACCGACTTCTTTACGTTATAGCAATTAAATAGGCTTATACGTAAATCTGTATTTGGTAAATATGAGTCATAGAAGCTATCGAACTAATAGTTATTGTATTAATCAGTATGTTCTCTACCATTACTTATACTTTCACTACGTCTACCACTACGGGATTTGAATCGATAACTGAATCTCTTTGCTAATGTGGTATGGCGACTCGAACTGATGTACGTACATACGTACGAAGTTTCACGTTGTTACTGACCGACTGACTGACTGACATTTGGTATAATCGACTTGTAAGTGAAATATTTTTCGCTGTCTATTGTTCAATTTTTCCAATTCAGACTATTCGATCCCAGCTTGAAAGTTATCGTAATGTAGACAATAACCTAACCGATTTCGATCCAATGATGAATGAGGAATTAATTGAAGCTTATACTAATTCTGATGAAGATGAACATAGTAATATCTCTAATTCTTCATTATCAAGTGATGAGTCAAAAATCAATGAAATATCAACCATATCAAATAAACACAATCCTACTCCGCTATTAGATACATCTGGTCAAGCTGGTATTAATGCTGCACGTAAAACATGGAAATCTTTAGTTAAAATACATCAACTTCAACAAAAAGCAAAATTAGAATCAGTAGAACAACAACGTTTAACTAAATCTATTGGTTGGGGTATTATTTCAACAAGAAACACATTGAATAATAATGATCAAAACAATGAACCCAATGATCATGACATAATAGATCGTTTCAATAATGATGGTGATAGTGATGAACAAGAGATAACTCGTTTTGAACAACCAATTAAAACAAAATATGCTAAAATTCAATTATTGAAAAAAGTGAATAAATTAAAATCAAATAAAAACAAATGATCAATAAAGTAACAATATTCATTTGATTTCTTTAAAATAGTTAGTCAATCAGTCAGTTACAATGTAGGATTGGGCATATATATATATATACATCGATCTAGCAATTATACTTGTATATACATATTTATTAGTATTTTTCTTATTTAAATAAACTGATTATTTTGTATGATACAATCATTAAGCTTCTATCTAGCTATGGTTTTATATAGATGTATTGTGTTTCGTCCCAATTTTGGAGGATTTTGTCAGTTAGATTTACCACTTTCTCAGTCTTCTTATTTGTTTGAACACATAAATATTAGCACACGGAGGCACCAAATACATAAGCGCCACGTAACTCACTTGATTTGTGTGTGAGTTGTAACACTGTCCTGGTGCCCAGACTGAAGTCTTTGATCTAAAGGTCTAATTGACAAGGCAGTGGAGCAACGTCATAAGATGTCCCATGATAGCCGGTGACTAACAATAGGTTCATACGCTATTGGTTTCATCAGGATCTTGGACCCTATGTGCACCATTGGTTTGTAATCAGGGTTTCCCAACTCCCCTAGGTGGATCCTGGATATCTACCAATCCGGTTAAAGCTCCGGACATTCGCTTTTCGTCCTCGCAATTTCGTGAACACCATCCCGTTATCGAGGCATTGAGTAGAATTTCCCTGTCAGTGGCTGTTTACGCGAGGCTATGTGAGGGAATTTCGAAAGTGAGAGTTGATTCTCCCCACCCTCGGCTATATAAGGGCATTTGGGTACGATTATGTAATCAAAAGGGCACAACTATGCAGAGATTGTCGGGTGGAAAAATAATAGTGTTCTCACAAAGCGGGTAAATTTAAAACTTCAAGAAGGTTCTTAGTGTTTAGTCAGGGAGATTATGTGTTTGTGAACTAGTCTATTATAAAGCATGCAATGAATGATTTCAACATTTCAGAGATTATGAAGACAGTAATTCAGATAAAACCTGTAATAATATGTTATATCTAGATAGTTGTTGCTTGTTATACCGCGTATAACTTGAGCACTAGAACGTCAGAACCCTTCCAAGTCACAATGAGAAGATAGAAGACTAGTGAAAGGAATGTTATTCCAGACAGTGTCAATTATGATACTAAACTGTTAGGTATTTATAGTTTTTAGTAACAACGAAATCATCATTACAGTCCTCCAATCCGTATACAGGGGGTTATTTGTATTGTCTAATCGGGAAGCTACACGTAGGAATTCTAGAATATTCTTCCAAAAGGTGATTAGATGGAATATCTTCGGCTCCTTCTGAACCTCTTACAGCTTCCTCGAATTCACCCGTGGTCCGTCCTCACATAATAAATGAAATATTTAATGATGGTTATCTGTTTATGTTTATCAGGAAGGAAAAAATTAGTTTGATTAATTCGTGTATAAATGAAGCATAATTCTACCCTTCATTAATTGATGGAATTGAACAAAAAGAAAGAAACTCATCATTCATGAAGTCGTTGACGACTTACATGCCCTGGTACGGCCGAGAGTGAGGAGAGTCCGCTCTCCCTCTCGAAATGCTCTCACATGGCCACGCGTATATAGCCTCTGCCACGGAAGTCCTACTCACTGCCTTCTCGTGGCGGGGGTGTTGTTTACGAAACTGAGAGGACGAAAAGCGAATATCCGGCGCTTTAACCGGATCCCAAACCAATGGTGCACATGGGCTCCAGTATCCTGCGGGAACAAATGGCGTATGAACCGATTGTTGGTCACCGGCTACCATGGGACTGCATTTCTATACGATGCTCCACTGCCTTGTGGATCAGATCTTCAGGTCAAAGGCTCTGGGTGTGGCCCCCTAAGAAAACTACCTGCTTCGGTTTTGGCACCCGGGCAGTATCACAGCCCTCACACAAATCAATTGAGATCTGTATGGCGCATATGTATTCGGTTCTTTCTTGTACCAATACCTATGTGTTAAAATAATAATAATAATAGTACATTGAAAAATATCATAAGTTCTTCAATGAATGTCACCTTAATCGAAATAATAATTCTATGATAAACTGAATAAGATCAAAGATGTATATTTGATATTTTGAGAATAATAATATCAGATAATTGAATAACAGATCCTTTCATAAGATTATCAACTTATAATCTAGTAATTGGATCTAGAATGCTTCTTGCATCTTATTTAAATGTATATGCATCCCAGAGTTGATATTCACTCCAGAACTCATACTCACTACCGACCGCTTCAAACATTGTTGTCATGTCCGTTTAGCTACTGGATCCAGATAGCTTATGGCTTGTGCAACATATCAATCAGGGTTACTGATGTTTAGAATAGAATAACTATACCTTAATCAGTATAGAGATAATAAATTATTACATAACCGAATATTTATATCATTAAAACAGACCAACCGATTACCTGATTCAAATCTGATAAAGTGAGAGATACACATACACATATATGATTTAACTTGTAAGAGTTTATGTTCAAAAATAAATCCAACTGACATAGAAACACGCATCTTACATAGCAACCCTTTGTACTGATGAAAAAGTTGAATGTTTTTAATATAATGTTATTTCAATAGTTGAAATCATGAGTAAATTGAAGCTAGACCATCATAGAAAAGCTGGAAGCACTGGAAGGCTGTTTCGTCCTAGTATAGGACTCGTGGATTCGCACTGCTGATTGATTTATTTCATTATGCATATATATGTACATTTTCATTCTGTTCACTCGCATGATCACCCGCTTGCTTTTCGGACAGGCAGATGACCTCTCAAGATTGATTGCAAAACAAGAAGAGGTGCTTGTAGCTGCCGTAGATGTCGAGTCTGAGGTTTACAAAGTATTGGCAGATAGTTCACCTTACTCACAGACTATAAACGGCTACTGACAGTTTTTGGATCTAAAAAAGGTATCCCTATGTATACAGCAAACCGTCTACAGCGATGTGCAACTACACTGCTGGGCTATGATTTCAAGATAAAGTATCAACCGACAACGGGGATTTTGGAAAACATTAACAAGATATAACAATTGACGACCAGGTGGAAAAAAGAGCCAAGACAATCAGTATACAGAATTCTCGCCGATGTGTGATGTAATTTCATTCTAATTATTAATCAAAATGGGTGTACAATCAATATATAAATGAGTGTATTTTCGACTAAGATCGTCGTCGTCATCATAGTGTTTTGGGGTTAGTAAACCTTCTCTTATAGCAGTCTTTTTATTCTTACTTTCGCGTCTTGGGAATTGTGGAGGTCCCTTCGTCCCGAGTATAAGTGATCAGCGATTCCGATATAACAATCAGCGACGACCAGATACAAAAAGTAGCATTCGACTCACAAGTTATAACACTTTCATGTTAGCTTAGTGTACCTGTAATTTTGGTTATCTGTGCGTGGTGTAATAATAAATGTAATCAACGCTTCGTAGTCGCCTTCTGAATAATACACCGTTTGGGCGTTATCTAGTGACGTTTGTCCGATCGAGCAGTTTACGTAATTTAAGGTTTATATTGAATAACGGCCACCGTAGACTTGATGTTTTGTTGCATAACTAGCTAGCTCATGATTCCTACCTATATTAAAATATTTTGACGATAAATTCATCACTTTTGGTGTAACAATAAAGATTTGGTTACCATGTAGAAAGCATATTGATGGATTTATTATTATACCTAATATTTATTTCTCAATTCAATTCTAAACTACTTAATATTAGTGAGTAGCTCAAGTTGAATTAAGTAATTTTCCCGATCTAATTATACAAACCGAAGACCATCCGCATTTAATAGCAATGTGGATAACTCTATTGAGCTTGAAACGATTGGTGTCATGTTTAAGTCCCGAAGTGAACGTTGACTTGGTTACAGATATATCTAGCTGGTGATTCCTGAATTTCAACGTTTGTCACTCTCTAACCCTGCTTATAATTACATCTGGAAGTGTTTTTCAAACTATGATAATTATCTTTTCCCAATAAATAATAAAATTCAGTCAATCTTATATATTCAAATGGTGTTCTCAGCTTATAATTTAGTCAATTCCAATATAAAGATCACAATTGGTTGTTTCATTAATCAATCAAAATGTCGAGGTCATTTAAATTAAATTGTAATCTGAACACTTTCAAGACTTTCACATTAGGTCAAGTATATTTATTGTTAAAGGCTGAAATCTCATTACCACATCTTTCATCAGACCATAGCGACACCATTTGTGTTGCTTACATTAAGAAATAGGCATTTTGAAGTTTAGCAGTCTACTTGGATAAGTTTATTTGAATCCTGCTATTGATGTTTACGACTAATTGATCAGTCTACTATTAGCATATGTGTATCCTGTGTGGATTGCCTCAATTCTGAATTAAGTTATAATCATTATAATGAGAGAGATGATTGATGGTGGTGGCTAGCAGTGGAATCCAGGACACGCGTATCGTCCTATTTTGGACTCTTCAGTTAAGAACTTAGTAGTAAAGTGAATAACAAGATAGTGTTTGAAGTGAACGGTACTGAGTTTGTGTGGTGTTGTGAATATTAACTATGAGATGTAGGTACATTCATCTGACGCGTCTCAAATAGGGTGGAACGCTCTTCCTGGATTCCATTGCTAGCTGCCGTTATCTCAGCTTATAATGTTATTTTCTAATATTTCAATTCAATCAATTATGTTTTCAATTGACATTTGTCCACTTTAAAGCACAATTCTAAATGATCTGGTTGATGACATGAATTTGGATGGTGAAATGTTTGTGTTTTGACCTTTATCTTAGGTCATTTAAGCTTATCAATACATAATTGATGAAACTATACAAAATGAATAATCAAAGAAGCTTCTCATTAGGGAACTGTAAGGTAGTTTAAGAGCAATCGAAATAACAATAGAATTAGAAGAATAGTGGAGTATGTAAAGAACAACACAAAGAAGCTGTTCAAAGAACGTATAAATACAGTATATTACTAAATCACTGTGTGATTTTGCATCAAACATTAAATTGTTATTCTTCACCTAAATTGTAGTTCATTACACTTGTATTGATGTGTGATTAACAGTTATAGCCATTATTA